AATATTTTTTAGACATTGAGGTGAAGGCAAGATGGAAATTAATGTAGTCTTTTAGAAATTTGATGAAAAGTTCGAGGAAAATCTAATCCTCTTGTCGATATTCGATTCGTTGTTATGAAAAGGATATTATTATCTTTTGACTGCGAGAGAAATGTATTGCCAGACCATGTTAGATAAAACGAAAACATAAAGCCCTCGAGAAGTTTCAACTTGGAATGAGAAATCACAATATTTTTGAAAGCATTTCGATGTATTTCGAACATCAAAGGGAACAAAATATTATAGATATATCTCAGTGATATAGTAAGTAGACTGCAAACGTTTATGGATACGGTATGGTCGGAATGAGGAGTATGCGAAATGAATGATACTTAAAATAATTTTTAGAACCCACTAATTATAATGAAATTTTCTATCTGATTCCCATTTCTTCACCTACCTTCCACAAAAATATACATTTATTAATAATAAATTAATAAACTTTCGTACTTCGACAATAAAATGCAAGAAAGTAAAATGTAATATTTTGCAATCATTAATAATAAAATAATAAACTTTCGTACTTCGACAATAAAATGTAAGAAAGTAAATTGTAATATTTTGCAATCGCATAATTTCACTTTTTAATTACTTTTATTTTTCGTCGAAATTCCGTTTAAATTTCAGGTCAACGGTGGTATGATTTGTAACTACGTCTGATGTTTACACGAACGAAACGAGAAGCATTGAATTTTATGGCAGCTTAATCGAAATTAGGTGGAACGAATTATTAATACGCCTTAAATATTTCAAGCGTATAATCGCGAAAACACTTTTACGCTAAGGTTGCTACGAACGAAGAATATTCCAAATGAACGTATTCTGAGCCCTGAGGCTCGAATAATAATAACAATCATAATAATAATAGTGAGAGGAACAGGAGTCATGAAAGCGTAAGGAATCCAATTTTATACTTTAGGAATTTCAAGCACGTTTGGTACCAAAGGAATTTGGAAGACAAAGAAAAGTCAAAATTCCACGAAATAATACTCGAAATAGCATTCTAAAGGTAAAATGAGCCTCAAAGGTTTATTAAATTCAGCTTTATTAAATTGCTCGCTGTATATGTGCATCAAGATACATTCCTCCCACGAAATCGATCTTCCATCGAGAATTCAATAAAATTAAGTAAATTTAATAAAATATTTTTTAAAATATAAAATACTAAAATTAAATTCTAATCGAATATTCCGTAATAATTTCAATCACCATTAAAAAATTAATTTATCATCTTACTGCATTCCGTAAACAGTGATATTTTTAAAAGCTCACTTTAAAACATCACAGCTGGTCTCTGTAAAAATTTCATAAATTTTAAATAGAAAATTGAATAACAAAGAGAATTTAACTTCTAGTAAAAAGAATACTTAAACATCGAATTATTAAAATACAGAAATTAGAATAAAAAAGAATTATATTTTCTGAATTCTTTACAAATTTAAAGAATAATAGAGAAGAAAAATACGAGATAATTTGTCACTCGTTAATTAATCATGGAAATACAGTTAATTATTTTCAGGCGACGTGTTCGAAAGTGTCATATTATTTATGGAATAGCCTAATCGTGTAATACCTACGTCGTATAATATTCCATTACCGAATAAAGTTTCCTCTATCCTGTTTCATTCCCTCCAGAAATTTTCGACGATTATTCTCGACGCAAGAAAAATGCATGAAAATATGTTTCACTGCACATTGAAGAACAACGAGAGCCTCGGAGATAATTGCAAGAATTCGGACGAACTGGATAGACGTTTCAGCTTCGAAACGTCGGATAAAATTTAATAAAAGGATCTGTAACGTTATGTCGAGCCAATGAAACCTGCCGGATCACATATTGATCAATCAATATTTGACATTTCCTGCGCGTTATGAAATTCAACGCGAAAATATGCACCGACGACGGTAATTATCGAGCCACGTATCTTCCGAATAGACGATAATAGAACAGTCGGAAGGTAATGAATGGAACAATGGTAATGAAATATTTATCGCGCTGCAAGTTCAGGTGTCCCATTATTCCACGTTATAATAGATCACTTATCGATGCAGGTCGTAATTTCGTTTGATAGATCGGATAATGTTGATAGACAAATATTTTGGATGACAGGATTTTCGTGAAACGAAGTTTATAATTATTTCTGTTTCATTATAAGATACGTGAGGTACGAAGAGATTTTTCAAAAGATTCGATCTTGCAGGGATTATCGAGACACGCGAGATGAAGGGAAAGTGTAATTTATATTGCGATATTAATGTCATTATAAATGACAGTCTATAGCAAGACGAGTCGGTGTGTAGGCGTTTTAACGAAGGATGGCAGAATAAAGGACAATGGAACAGGGAGCCTGTCGAGTAAAGGATTTATCAGGAAAGCTTCCTGATAGACCCATGTCTCAAACGTGACATCAATGAAGCTCAGAATCTATCTTACAATTTTGAAGGATTCCGAATTTGACATTTGAATCTAGGATGAGCATTATGCACACTGGTTGATAGTTTTTGAATAAATTAATTGTATAGATCTACTGAGAATAGATCTAAAATAGATACGTGTAAATTGCACTTTTGTACTCTAAAAATTATACAGAAGAGAACTGTAGATGGTAATCAGTTCGAGGTATAATACTAAAAACTACACGTGTTATGTATCCACTATTATAATAAGATCTATATAATCTATATATTCTATTATCTATAAAGAAATATTCTCTGTAATTTTAAAATATTGACTCTTTAGTTTTAAATAAATAAGTGACATTAGCCAATCTGAAAGGTATACCTAAATATTCTAAGCAAATATTCTAGTATTTATAAATATATATAAATATATATAAATATATAAATATACAAATATGAATA